TTATTTTTATTAGACTGTATTAAAGAAGCTGTAATATAGAAGCTACTGCCAGGTAGGACTACTGCCAGTTAAGTAGTGTTATTATTTTAACATTGAAACCATTATTATTTTTATAAATATTCATGTGATATTGTAATGGTTATCTTACTGTTATATTGTGTTTATATAGAGGTCTATGATATTAAAAGCCGCAGTTTCGCTTTCTCTTGCTGTTTTTCCTTATTTATATAACATGCTTTACATTAGCTTCTATTAGTATGTATATTAAGTATGTTTAATGCATCTTCATCTCATTCTCAAATTCTCCTTTGTAATTGGCCAGAGGTTTTCCTACATAAGATTTGGGACATGGGCACAAATAATGACTTGATATGTTTTGGGGGAGTTTTAATCTAAAATTCGATGTGTTAAACAGCAAATGTGTCTTTTCTTTTAACACCAGTCATGACAAGCATGTTAGCTAGATTATGGGATTAAAGGTAAATAATGGTGAAAACTTGATTCAAAGAGGCATCAGACTATTTGGTATCTACTGCAATGTGGTATTCCTGACAACAGGTGTCAGCAAGAGGCTATTCATTGTAATACACAGCCACACACATCCAAATAAACAAACCTTGTGATGATACTGAAAAGGAAATCTATGATTTATGAAAGCCTCCTCTAAGCCTCCACACAGCAGTCTGAAACCCACATCAGACCTTCCTGCTGTAGTCATGCTAAGCTAGGTCTGTGGTGCAGTCTTACCATTATGCTGTGTGCAGCAGCAGCTGCTGACTCAACCTGCTTGCTTGCTTTGTCCACCTCTGCCTCTCCAAGGGCAACTGCAAGCTCCGTCTGGTCTAGGTCCTTGGACATACGACAGACCTCCTGACAACATTAAATAAAAAACATACGCTGAATGAGACAGTGGTTCTGTATAGGTTGCATTGCTGCTTGTTTTCATGGGCTACTGCTTTTCATGTGGCTAGAAGGGCTAGCATCTCATGTGATTTGGGTGGAGACTACTGATGGCTGTACAATACATTACAGCTTTATGGAAAAAGTTTTTCCCCCAATTCATGCCATACATTTAGCTAACTTTCCTTTCAGTTTCTCTGGTTTCCTGAAGGGGAATTGTTTCATTTTACAATACTAGATTATTTGAAGTGTCGAATATTAAAGCAGCAGTAGGCCACTGACTTTTTTCACTTTAGACCTGTTGTACCTACTCCTTACTATATTATTGTGTTTAATTATATGTTAATATTAATATTTCATATAAAATTTGTTGCAGTTGTCCTGCGTATTACACTTACATGCTCTGTACCTTGGTTTTTTTTTTGTGTTTTTCTACGTCATGTGTAGTCTTGAATGTTTGCCTCTCTCCCTGTGAATGTTGGCATCCTAATTCTGTTTTGCTTTTTCCACCAGGGACCACGGAGCCGTTGCACAAAACCTAGATAGCAGATTACGCTGGGGTTGTTCTGGCTTAGTTTAGCTCAAACGCTCGGGTTTCATTGAAAGCATGCGCATTACGCTTACCCATGGGGATTTATCTACGTAGCTAGTCTGAACAACAGCCAGGTGCTATTAACTCCTGGTGCTTTAATCTGTTCTTCAGCGCATCACCTCATCAGAAAAAGCAGCAAGTGTTTTATGTAAATCTTTAATGTTCCTATGTACACCTTTGCA